GTGAAAAAGTTTTTGATTAAACATTCTGCCTACTCATTTAACATCATCTGTAATTTTTTTTTAAATAAAAGTTTAGTCAAGGGTTTGGATTCCCCTACTGGCCAGCTGCCAAAAATTAAAAAAAAAATTATATATATATGTATAAGCTTAAAAATACTTTATATGAAAAACAGTGGGAAAGGTTAGCATTAAGATACTTTCCATATATATTTTCTTTAACTGAAATCAAACATGAGTATTGATCAAAAAAGGCTCTAGTGACTTTAAATATGGACACAGAGAACAGGGACAGTTTTCAAACCAAAATATAAGAATTTTGAATTATCCAGTTTTACTTCAACTGAGGTTTTTCTGAGGGAAGTAAAGGGATAAAAGCTGATGATAAGCAAGTGAGAAAGTGTTAGAAAATATAGAAATGAATACTGGGAAGAAAAGATAATAAAGGTTTTTGTTTTATGAAGTGTCAAATTTTGTGCTATGCAAATGTGGTATTTACTAAGCTGGTGGTTTTTTCGTGTTCCCCTATACTTTTAAAATAGAATTTCTGACACTATAGCTAAAGAGGTTAAAAGATGAATAATGGTTTGGAAGAGCAAGTTTCAGAAAATAGAAGCAGCTTTGTTTTGAACTCACTTTTTTTGAACAGAACTATTTACTGACTGACCATACTTTCCTACATGTGTATTATGCAAAACCTTTTATGTTCCAATAAATATGTGCCCTTTCTCTGGGGCCAATGTAATCTTCTACAGTATCTCTTACCTATTATTCTCAGAAAGTCAGATCACGTCATGATTTGACCATGACAAAAACCTTCCATAGTATTGTATATCCTCATTTGTAGCAAAAATAAATTTTACACATTAACCAAAATTTAATGGCCTACCAGTTTGTAATAATCATTATTAATGATAAGAATCATCATTAATGATAAGAATGTTGTGAAATGAAGTGATATAAGGCAAGTGATATCTAGAGAAATGGAACTGGAAACTAAAAAATTCCATGGCTTCAATTTACTATCAAGACAAAAGGTTACAGGTGGTAGATATCTTATAAAGGCCTTCGAGGAGGAGTAGCACATTTATAATAATGTCTGAAGAAGTACAAGACCCAGAGTAGTATAGACTTTATGCCTACTATAACAGGCAAAAAGTCTTTGGTCTGGTCAAATATCTCTAAACATTCCCCATTGAAACAAATACCCAAGCTTGTACCAAAAAGGAAAAGAGACTGTGTTGAGGTTCTTTGTTGGACAGAGATATACAACTAATACCTTCTTGCATGCATACCAAAGAAAGACTCTTCAGTGCTATGATTTTTATAACCTACTATTCATAATGTTCTGAAATGTATAAAGAAACGTTTATTCCTGGGACCCTAGTGAATATTTTAAAAATATAGGGCATTTTAACATAAAATATTAAAAATTTTATATTTACAAATTTATATATGCTGTTAAGGTTAGAGTTGGGAAGAGCTTGCAGATTTTGACATACAAGTCTTATATCTTGAAGGGGGAAAACTGTCCACTGGGACACAGAGGTCTATTTCATGGTGCTGCAATTTGTGTTCACAGAATAAAGCAACAGGAAACACAA